CCCCCCTCCCTCTCCTTTACTGTGAAAGAACGTTTTGTTGTGAGTGACGCCATACCGCGACGCCAACATTCCCTCGCCTTTTCCCGCCAGCTGTCGGTGTGACTCACAGCTGCAGCACCCCACTCTGCTACCGATTGGTGGAGACGTCATGTTGCCTCTTTGCCGTTTGCACCCGCGCAATTTCTGTCCTAGATTGGCTTTTTGTGTTGGGAATATAAACAAATGACATACAAGTTAAACCAACACCAAGTTATTTATTGAACGCACAAAAAGTTAACACACTTGCAATATAATTACCATCACCCTTAACAAAAATAATAGCACGAAACTGTAGTCTGTTTGAATATTTTGGCTTTATAATACGCCAACAAGCGTCAACAAGTTTACAGGAGTCTCGCATTTAAAACTGACATCTTGTTCTACAGTTATATTTGCAGAGTACTGAACATTTCCAACAATGGCGAACAAGTTCGATCTGAGGAGCAATCGCGTATATTTTTATTTTCCCCGACAATGTTTTTTTCCTGCATCGGGAACATGTATTCTTCAAAATTTACTGGACTCATTGTGTCGAACGTTAACCCTTTTGATTGCCTTGATTTGTCTTTTCTGGCATCCTTTATACATTTTTGTGGAGTGAAATCGTCCGGGAAATGCTCTTTCGACCACTTATAAAACTCTTCCTCAGTCAGCCATCTCGTCAGCCCCTTCTTTGGGTCGTTCCAAGCGACGTTCTTCATACCCTTCGGCTTCGGCCCCACCTTGGGGAGGGTCGGGTCGTCAGTGGCTTGATTGACATCATTGCTGATCACTGTGCAGCTTACGAACTTGTAGGTGTCCTTGCGCAGGACCAGCTTGTACAGGTATTTGGGGACGGAGATCCGCCCGTTGCATGATGCGATGTACTTTTTAATCTCCTCGATGGTGGTCGTCTCTCCGCGATCCCGAACGAACTTCTCTATCTCTACGATCGCATCCTCGATGCTGCAGAGGTACAACTCCCCGAGCCAGCCTGTGTATTCGACGAGCTCGCCCTCCTGGTCCGCCAGATTCCGCAGGCTTTTCTCCACCGCCTCCATGTTGCCCGCGTTGACTGCCATGTCTATGGGGACGATATTGTCTTCCAGTTCCATTGTCATTTCCTGGTCTTCCCGAGAGGTCATGTTGGCGCGTGGCACCAGATGCCCCTTGTTGAACTTAAATTGTGTGAATAAAAACGAGTAGAAGCCTTTAAGCCAATTAGGGCCGCGCCAGCTGGGCCTTTTGCCCGCTGCAGGCGTGTTCGGCACGATGAAGTGCACGGTGTATAGCGGTCTTTGATATTTAGTAAGGCTCTCACTCTCCTCTACGAACAGAAGCGACCTTCTCCTACGTGCCAAGAGAAAGGCAGCTCCGCTATCAGTATGAACAATTGTTGAAAGTGTCCGTACCAAAGTAGCTAACCAAATAATCCAAAAGCGATTTACTGTTGACATGGCTTGTAAAGACACCGAACGAGGCATCGCAAAATACTTAAAGCCTTCGCCGACTGCTTCATATGAATTCTGTAGTTTTTTCTTCTTGCTAGTATCGTCTGGGTCTAAAATATAAAGCATGAAAAAAGTATCGGTTAAACTAGGTGATCAAAAGAAGTTCACCATGCACCCAGATAATGTGTTCTTTGAATCTTTGGCCATATCCTTTATTTCAAAGTCAAAATTTTGAAGCAAGGGAAATCTGTCGTTAAAGTTTTAAAAAATCAGAAGTTGAAAAAAATGAAAAATCCTTAAAATAAAATCAAAAATTGTTGTTGAATCAATGAACAAATGTTCTGGGTGTGCACAAAGACTCAACAGTTTCTTTCATGGTCAGAAAATTGCAGTTTGAAGTATAGAAGTCTTTATAATCTCGCAGTTAAAACTGGCATATTTTACTATGCAGTTTGATTTACAGAGGGTCCCTTTACACTTATAAATTAATGAGGTATTCTAGCGGTTAGAAGAAATGAAGAATCCCCAAGATCGCCGCCACAGAACATAAAAAAACAGCAGACGACGTTTCTTATAAATTCGCTTGGTGTGAGGTCCCAAGGGGTTAAATTTTTTTGCACTTACTCATTTTACATTTAGACAAATTTAAGGGCTAAATCGAGACTAGTTTTAAAAGAATTGCTGGTTTTGTTATGTTCTAAAGGCGGCCATCTTGGGGATTCTTCATTTCTTCTATCCGTTAAAATACCTCATTTTGCAACTTGCGTGCACGCGAGTGCTCAACAATGCGTGGTGCAGTTTTAAGTGCTTGTCTGCAGTCAATCCATGGATATTTGAATACTGACAAGTGTTTGACAGTAGAGTTGAACTAAACATTTAAAAGTGACCAAATACAGGGTTGGCCATTAAGCTTTTGATCCTTTTGAGTATTCAAGTCCACTGTTAAACACTTTTAAGTTTTAAGTATTCAAATTTCCAACACCTAGGAGTGAGTGTGCATCATAGAGTCGAACGCTAACTTGTGCATGCCAAGCTGCACACTTTTGTTTCCAGGGTACAAAGCTAATACATCTCTCTCACCTCGGACTGCAGCGGTCGCCATGATCTCAGTCAATCACTATACAACACACCACGTTGACAAGTAAAGCCTCTAACACGTCTGCACCCTTCCGTACGTTGCACCACACTGGCAATGACACTGGTGCAGCACTACTTAATCCGCAGGCCGGTGAGCTCGCCATTGGCTACCTGCTCTTATCTTATCTGCCTTGGTCTGCATTGCCGATCGACGTCATCAGACCTGTCTTAACCTGTTCCTCATCGGGTTTCGTCTGGTTTCAAGGTTGTCCAACGAATGTTCCCGATTGTTCTCGTCGGGTTTGTTATTCTCGTTACTCTCCGGTTGTCTGCTGTCTGATGAGCGAGGCGCAAGGTGCACTGAAATCCGCTGTGTGATACTTTTACTCAATTTTTGCGAAAACTGGTGTTTTGTGATTCCCACGATGATGGGTATGATAACTCCAAAAAATGTGATAAAAGTATCACATTTTTGTGATAAAATCATCACAAAAAATGTAATAAAATAATTTTTGTGATAATTTCATCACAATAATGCAATACTTTTATCACATTGTTTGGAGTTATCATGCCCTTTAGCGTGGGAATCGCAAAACACCAGTTATCGCATGGTTTTGTGTTAAAAGTATCGCAAAACCAGACTCAGTGACGTGTTTGACGATGTGTTAGTATCCGTGCTGCTTACAGAAAATGTTTGTATGAAGTGTGCAACTTAACATTGTAAAAAAAAAAAACAACAAGCACAGTGTATCGACTTGGAATTCATTGACGAGCAAGAATGGGCTGTCTTAAATTTACAAAACACTCTATAAATCGTAGATACAAATTATTTTTTGAATTAGCTATTGTTTGACGTTGCGCCTTCCCCCGGCCGTGTCGCTTGCAGGAGGCCGGCTCCTTGTGCAGGGGCGGCACGCACCCCGCCCTGTGAAGTGACCCGGATTACTCCCCCGCCCCACCCACGTGGTGGTTGGTGTTGCATGGGAAGTTCAGGGTCACGTGACGGCACCCCCCCCCC